CGAAGAGAGCAGGCCTTGGGCCTGAAGTGGTTGCATGCGCCCAACTGCTTTCGGCCTGTGTTTGGCCCGGTACCCGTATCCAGCCCAGGGCCTGCTTCACATTCATTTACACAGGCGGCCCAGGGCTTGGATTCATTCAACCAACTGGCGCAACGCAACTGTCTGAATTTCCCCGATGCGGGGTACCCTGAAGAATGAGGCCCGAAGGGCCTGTCGTGCCTGCCTTCACTTAGGGCGGCCGACCTTGTTGCAGATAGGGTCCGGTAGGGGCTAAGCGGGCGTAGCCTCGCAGAGGGCAGTGCGTGATCGCACTGCCTGGCGCAGGCCGTGTTTGGCCTGTGTCGTCTGGGCGCAGTTTCGGGCCCCCGGACTGCTGCAGAACACGGGTTACTGCAATAGTAGTACTTATGAAACTATTTTGGTCAACCTGGGGCAAGGTCCCACTAGCAAAGAGGATTGGATGAAGTGCCTGAATCTGGATGCGTTTCGTGCAGAGATCCAGAAAAGCAGATTAATCCGGATTTACTGCTCCTCTTCACAAACACGTTCAGATTCAGGCGTTCAATCCAATCCTCCTTGCCAGTGGAACATAACCCCTGGGCACACTGTGCGGGTCCAACCTGCTGATGAGTGGGTGAAAGTCCGACGAAACATTCTGGCACAGTCAGCCTTTTTTTTTCTGTGTGGAGCTGTGTATAGCGAACATGACAACACACACACACACACACACACACACACACACACACACACAATCAACACACACACATATGGTTTATGATGATTCACGGATGGAATGAGAGAGAGAATTTGTGTGTTAAAAAAAAAAAAACCCACATATTCTGGTCTTGCTAGCTCTCTCTCCTGGCAGATTTGAGCGGTTAGGATCGGGCTCGTACTAGCCAGCTATTCTTTTTTTGTGGTTGGATATGTTGTTTTGCCGTTCAGTTTATTATACACGGCTTAATTCTTTGCCCTGCTTCAGAGCATGGGCTGTTTTTTCGATGAAGGCATGTCTGTGGGTGGCTGCAAGTTTTTTGGGGTGGGACCGTAGGAATTAATGTGTGTGGAATGTTGGCCACAGTACCTTCGTGAGGAGGCACAGACAGTGTTTCTGTGGGTGTCATTCCCAGGGGCTGCTTTTTCGTGAGGAGGCACAGACAGTGTTTCTGTGGGTGTCATTCCCAGGGGCTGCTTCTTGGGTGTTTCAGCAGTAGCGCTCCTGATGTTGCGTGAAGATCTTGTGGAGTCTGGGATTACCACACTCTATTATACACTCCAGAGCTAGACAGCGAAGTGATAGAGATGGTGGTGACATGAGTGAGTCCTTTGGGATGAATGGCAGTCGGAATGCTGTTGTGCTTGTGCAATTATAGTTTTGTAATTAATTTTGTGGATTTGGGGGCCGATTCGGTGGGCTCTCCAAGTTTTCTCGGACGCTTGGGGGATTGGGTCAGTGTTTTTTTTTTTTTTTTCTCTCGGTCTGTGCTTTCTTGCTGGTGGAGTCTTCTGTTTTAGGTAAGTTTTGCCTTTTGAGTCTTGACCTCCATCCCTTTTATGTGCATGTATACGTGCAAGTGTGCTGCTTCGGCGGCAGACTGTGTGGGCACTCGGTGCTGAACCACACAAACGTGGCCAACTTTGCATTTTCTTGCTTATCTATACTTTCTTTGTTTTATGGATGGGTTATGATGATTTGCGGATGGAATGAGAGAGGGATTTTGGGCGTTTTAAAACACACACACACACACACACACACACACACACACACACGTGCACACACACGCACACACTGCGGCACCCCCCTTGCAGCCAGTATGGTGAACCTGGCCACAGCCCTCTGCCTATCCGAGTGCAGATCGCGTTCACTGTCAGGAGTACTGGTGGTCTAAAAAACCAAGAAATCTACCTTATGCATCTCTTACCACAACTGGTTGTGTGTTTTGTCTTCTTGTGTGCTGGTTATTTCAACAAGCTCGACGTTTTCAAATTACGTTCTTCTAATGTCCCTGTTTTTCTGTGGGCACGTGTGCTTGGTGCTCAGGCTGCAATCCTATCAGGAGTAACCACTTTCCCATGGTTAATCAAGCCACTTTACGGTTTTATAAGGTAAAAGCTAACCTGTCATTATAGTATTATATACCCTTGGTGAAGGTCTCCAACTTTGTATGGATAACGTTGGTGGAAGAAGAAGAAGAAGAAGAAGAAGAAGAAGAAGATCATCAAATTATAACCACAGTGTGTTTTAACATGGACTAGCATTGACTCGACGACCAACAAAATGAGCAGAAATGACAAAGCAATGGTGCCACATGTACAAAAAAATAACAATAGTCAAATCTCTTGATGAAGAAACAAACCCCATAATAACAATAAATTAATAATAGTTATATACATAAAGAACCAAAGTTAACAGACCCCATTCTCGTCTCGGCCAATCAACAAGAAGAACAAGGAAGCTCACGTGGTATTACTACGTGCCTACACTACCGTCTTACCCGGATGTGAACGCACGGTCATTTGGCCTCAAGCTGGTTCCTTCGTCCATTGGCCCGCTAATGCGAATTGCATTGGTCTTACCACTAGTCTACAGTACTGTCTTCCCCCGAATAGAACACATACATTGCACAGCCATTTTAGCTGTATTTGGCGTAACTTCCAGCTGTGTAGCACACCGAACATGTTCAGCGCCCCACCGAGCAGCTGAATGTGTTCGGACGCTCGGCCGAGCGCAAATTAGGGGGCTGCCGAGCACGTCCTCATATGTGTGTGGTGTGTGGCGTGTGTGTGGGGTGTGTGTGGGGTGTCTGGGGGTGCGTGTGTATGTTGTGTGTGTGTGTGTATGTTCAGGAGTGATGAGCGATGCCCTCCATGGCCCCCCAACCTCTCTCTAGATATTAAAAAAAAAAAAAAAAAAAAAAAATTGAAAGTGTTCGGGCTTGGTCCATTTTGGGCCACGTTCGGGCTTGGTACCAAGCGTTCGGGTTCGGTCACCGAGCCCGAGCGCGATGCTACGCAGACTTCCAGTATAGATGCAGCGATAATGATTGTACATTCAATGAGGGAAAAACGGAAGCCTATTCTACTTTTGTCCCCCCTGTGGTTCAATGGTGCACCGCTCAACACCATGTGATTTTGCCAACTCCAATCAAAGAAACGTGAATCGCTGGAGCTCCCATGCCAAAGACCAACCAGATATGCCTCCTCATTCCTTCTCCACCCAAATCTCCTTCCTCTCCCAATGACCTGCGCTTCTCTCTCTCTCTCTCTCTCTCTCTCTCTCTCTCTCTCTCTCTCTCTCTCTCTCTCTCTCTC